GGTGAAACCCCGTCTCTACTAAAAAATACAAAAAACTAGCCGGGCGAGGTGGCGGGCGCCTGTAGTCCCAGCTACTCCGGAGGCTGAGGCGGGAGAATGGCGTAAACCCGGAAGGCGGAGCTTGCAGTGAGCTGAGATCCGGCCACTGCACTCCAGCCTGGGCGACAGAGTGAGACTCCGTCTCAAAAAAATAAATAAATAAATAAATAAACATAGAATTAATACGACCCAGCAATTCTTCCCCTAGTTGTATAGCCAAAAGTATTCAAACAAAAACTTACACACAAATGTTAATAGCAGCACTACTCACAATACTCAACTGGTGGAAATGCCCAAATGTTCATCATCAGATAATGGATTAACAAAACATGGCATAATAAACAGTGTAATATTATTTAGCCATAAAAAGGAAGAAGTTCCTACATGCTACAATGTGGATTAATCTCAAAAACATTATGCCAAGTGAAAGAAACCAGACATACAATGTCATATATCGTATGATTCCATTTATATGAAACATCTAGAATAGGAGAATCCATAGAGACAAAAAGCAGGTCAGTGGTTGCCAGGGGAGAAAGGGGAATTGGAAAGTGAAGGCTTTATGTGTATGGAGTTTTCCTTTGGAGAGATTAAATGTTTTGAAACTAGAAAGAGGTGTTGGTTGCACAACACTTAATGTACTAAATGTTACTGACTTGTACATTTTGAGATGGTTACTTTTATGTTACGGCTATTTTACATCAATTTTTTTAAAAACATGGTTGGCCACTAACATACAACCCACTAGATTGTCATTGGCAATGACATTGGCAGTTATTTTGTAAATGTACATTTGCTGACAGATATTTTTATAATCTTCATTATGAATCAGGTTACAAATTAAATTATAAATTAAATTTTAAAGATTATAAATTTTACATTAAAACAAATTATAAATTTTTACAAAGCAGACGAGCAAACAAAAGAACAGAAGAAACTGAGAAAGAGAGGGAACAGAGGCAGGAAACATGAGGGAGGAGAGAGGGGAGGAGGAGGAAGAAAAGGAAAATGCAAAAAAAGAGAGGAGAACAGGAATATGAAAGAGAGCTAGAGCAAAAATTTTGAAGTTGGGTAATATCAGGGGTCCGTGGGGGGTGTGAAGAAAGGAGAGTGCAGGCATGAGCACTCTCCTACATACCTGGTAGGGATATAAATGGACATAGACACTCTGGAGAACGATTTGTCAGTAGCAAATAAAATGAAAATGAACATACTCAGAGCCCTACTTCTGAGCATATATTCTGGAGAAATAATCACATATGTGTCCAAGGAACACGCACACAACATTTGTTTGCTACATCAAATACTAGAAACAGGCTGAGTGATGTGGCTCATGCCTGTAATCCCAGCACTTTGGGAGGCCAAGGCAGGTGGATCACTTGAGGTCAGGAGTTCAAGACCAGCCTGACTAACATGGTGAAACTCCACCTCTATTAAAAAACACAAAAATGAGCTGGGTGTGGTGGCAGGTGCCTATAATCCCAGTTACTTGGGAGGCTGAAGCAGGAGAATTGCTGAAACCCAGGAGGCAGAGATTGCAGTTGCAGTGAGCCAAGATGGTACCACTGCGCTACTCCAGCCTGGGCGGCACAATGAGACTGTGTCTCAAAAAAAAAAAAAAAAAAAAAAAAAAAAAAAAAAAAAATCCTACAAACAACCTAAATAGTTAAGAGGATGGATGCACTGTTATATGTTTGTGAAAATAAGTAAAACTCTAAGCTGTTGGAACTTTAAAACATTTTGAGCCTTAAGGGAATCTGATTATGGGATCTCAGTCACATGTAAACAGGCAGCTTTATAAAGTAGGCAGCTGTGACCTTTGTTTCTCTGATGATAGATTACCCTTTTTCCTTACCTATGTTGTTTTGTAAAATGTTATAAACGACTAACGGCACCAGGGAAGACCCCTTCTTTCTTAACTGTTGACCTACATTATAGAGTAACTTCCCTCTTTCCTCTTTCACAGACTTCATGACTAGCACATTGTCTAAGATGGAATGTTAAATACACTCTTTTAAATAGGAAAAGAAAACAAGCTTATGGAAAAGAAAATAACTTGTAACTAATTAAATTGTTGCAACTTATAAACCAGTCTTATACAGAAAATGTTATAATCCCACTAAGTTTCTTTGTTTTCTGCCTGTATATGCAAGATCTTCACTCTGGAGCACTGACTCCCTTCCTTTGGAGTCTGTTATCTGAACGGCATTCTCAGCTTTTCAGGTGAATAAATGCTTTTAAACTGGACTCTGATCCTTTCCATTATTTCAGGTAGACGTACTAATAATATGGTAGTATATAGTCATTTAAAAGAAGAATTTTATATATACTATATATGTGAAAAGATAAATGAACTTCAAGGTATTTTGTTATCTGGAAAAGATAGTTGGCAGATACAGTATGATGCCAAGCAATATAACTTAGTATATCACATTATATTCATGTATTACTTATATAATAAAATGTATAATAACAAAAAATGGAGGGATACAGAAAAAGAGAACTCTGCCATGATCAAGGTAAGAAAATGTATGTGAAGGAGTAAGAAAGAGAAAAATCAGAATGCAGCAGGGCAGCAGTATCTAACACAAAATTTTCAAACAGGGGTTGCACTCTGTATAATATACTCTCAAGATTTGGGGCAGTGGGTGCATTTAGGAGTACAGGCACGAACTAAGTGGATCCTCTGCTTAGGGTTTCACAAAACTGCAATTTTGGTGTCATTGGTCTGTGTTCTCATGTGGACGACTGGGGAAAGATTTACTTCCAAGTTCACTTAGACTGTTGACAGAATTCATTTCCTGGAGTTTGTAGGACTTCTTGCTAGTTGGCTATGGGCCAGAAGCTGCCTTACAGCGCCTAGAGGCTGCCCATGGTTCCTCACCATGTGGACTTCGCAAGCATGGCCACTGCCTTCATCAGGCCAGACAGGACAGTCTCTAGAGAGAGCCTGTTCATAAGACAGAGTCTTTTATAATGTAATGTAGTAGTCATGGGAGTGATATCCATCACCTTTGTTATATTTATTTTCAGAAGCAAGTCACAGGTCCCAACCCCTCTTAGGAGGAGGGGATCCAATACAAGTACGAACATGAAGAGGTACTGGGAATCAGAAACCATTGGGGCCACTGAAGAATCTGTCACACAGACATGTACTTGTTGCACTGAGACAGGGAAGCTATTTTAAGATGGTGTGGCGAAAAAGGATAAAAGCTCCTTACTCAGGCTCTAACTTATCCGACTCTCAGTCAATCCGTAACAAAAGACCTAAGAAGTTGTTAACTGCAAGCTCCTATTTCAGAGGGCTAGGGACTTCCCCAGATCCCCACCTGTACAGTTAGACTCCAACCTACAGTTACCCCTTCCTCACTTTAATGCTAAAAATTACTCCTGGGGTGGAGATTTAAAATGCTAATGCTACATATGATGTATGAAAAAGCATACTGGGCCACTGTGCAAGCACTAGAAAAACTCCTCCTATAGGTGCCCTGATGTAACCCTCCCCTATAGAAAGACCCTATAAAAGTCACCCACACACTAGCCTCAGAGAAGTCCGTTCCTTTGCCTTTCTTGGTGCTGACTCTCTTGTGCACAAGCTGAATACACTTTCCTTTGCTACCATGTTTGGTGATCTCTTTTAATCTCTATCATGGGAGATCATAAGAACCCAGGGCAACAGTAACAGCTTCTGAGTTTTTTTAATTAAAAATAACTGTAATATAATCCTTGAATTTTTAAAATGTAGGGCGCTAAACTAAAGTAAAACCTAAATCCAGAGTACATCTGACCTCGAAGTTCATGGCCTTCTCACTTCCCTGGCCATAGTTTAAAGGTATACATATATACATACACACACACCATGGAGTACATCCAGTTCAAACTGGATTTCCAACATTTCAGCATATCTCTGGAATGAAGAGTATAAGGGAAGGCCTAGGAGTCACCTGGTTTCTACCCATTTCTGGGGTGTAAGAATATGTATTTCTTGATCCTCAGTTCCAGCATCAATTAAAGGGAGTTAATTTTATCATCTATATTCATTGTTTTTGTGGTTACCCTGGGGCTCAAAAAGACACCGATTGCTCAATAAATGCTTGTTCCTGGAGTCACTATTACCAATATGGTTATATAAAATGAAAGTGAGCTAGAAGAAAGGAGATGAAATTCTTAAATTAGTGGCGTGTTTTACTGGTCGTCACCAACCCTCACATTTGTTCCATCACAAAAACAAAACAAAACTGCTAATTGCAAAGGAAGAAAAAAATGCATCTGATTGCTTTAAAAATGTAAGCATTTGGTTGTTACTGATATGAGTTTGTCATTTGTTTTTAAATTTTTTCCTTTTATGATTGTCTATGCCCTTTACTCGTTTGCTTTTGGAGATGTTCACTGATTTGAATATAGGTATTTTATTGGTTGGGGGTGGTGGCTCACACCTGCAATCCTAAGCTTTGGAGGCTGAGTCAGGAGGATACTTGGGCCCAGGAGGTCGAGATAGAAGTGAGCCGTGATCGCCACTGCACTCCAGCCTGGGTGACAGAGCGAGACCCCATCTCTAAGAAGAAAAAAAATACTATATTTACCCCTCTCTTTCTCTCTGTCCAATACATCCAGATATTCCCGTCCCCACTATGGTGATTTACCTCTTCATTTTGTTTACGGTGTGTGTGGAGCGGGAGTGAGAGCGCCAGCGTGCAGTTGCCTTGGTTCAGCAGCCAGCCCATCGCTCCTGCCTAGCGTGACTGTGAATACTAGGTGTATGTTACAACCGGGAGCGGTGTACACTCGGGGAAGCGCATCTTTGGAAACTTTGGTCTGTAGCGGCCGCTAGGATTCTCCGCAGCCCCGCACACCGGTGGCCGAACCGCCTGCCCCGGCCCCGGCCCAGACACTGCCGCCGCGCCCGCCCACCCGGCTGCGCCCCGGGGCGCGCGCCCGTGCCCGGCCCCCGCCCGCGCTGCCGCGCCGCTCCGGAGCCCGCTGCGGTCACGCTGCGCCCGGCGCCGCGGGGTGGGCGGCGAGGCATTCGCGAAGCGGGTGCTGAGGGCGTCCGCGCGGGCCACCCGCGTCCAGCGCGCTCCGCCGGTAAACTTCTGCGGGCGCCGGGCTGGAGCTCCACGCAGGAACGGGAGGGAAAGGTAAGAAGGTGAGCCCGGGGCCGCTGCGGCCGCCGGCTTCCGAGCTGTCCGCACCCTCACACCTCGCGGCCGCTTCGGGCAACTTAGCGGGCGCGACTTCTGCTGGGCCGGCGACCCCCGCGAGCGCTTGCGTCTAGCTGCTCCGCGTTCCCGCGCTGCCCGCGCCGCTCCCTTCCCGGCTCCCGTCAGCTCTGCGCCCTAGGGTCCGGGGTCTGGGGTCCCGTCTGCGCAGCCGCTCGCAGCTCGGAAGTCTAGGGGTGTCCTCTGCTGCGGTTCCTATCCGCGCCGACCCCTGGAGAACGCGAGTCGTCTGCCCTAGAGGCTTCTGGGCGAATATTCCTCCCAGATCTTCTCCCGCAGGTCCTACTCTGGCCCCAGGCACCCTGGAGTCCAAATAAACAGGCCAGGTTTGCAAGGAAGAAAAGCCGTTCCTAGGGGCCCTTGTCAGTCTTGGGTTTCCTGGGGAAGTCATGCCACCGCCGGGAGTTTCCTTTCCCCTGGCTGTAAGCAGAGGGCCTGACTGGTGTCATTGCTCTCACACTGGTGTCACAGAGTTGGGGGTACGAAAAAAGTGCCTCATCAAAGGTCGCGCTGACCTGTTTTCTCTATTTGGGGATCCCCTGCCAAAAAAGAAATTTGCCAATTACTAAGTTGTCTTATCACCATGTCGGTTACAGTGGTATAGTTTTTGATGGTCTGTATTTTAGGCAAAGATGAAAGACACAATCAAAATACAGTAAGGGGCAGTGCCAAAAATTTAGTCAGAAGACATTTGCAGAAAGTGAAAAATTCTGTTTGTAAATAATAAATGGAAAAGTAGAATTAGAAGCCCACTTTTGAACGCAATTTGATTTACTAAACTTCATTGCTTCCTGACTTTTCACTCTAATACCGGTAGTTAGATATTTTGAATTTGCAAGCCAACAAACTGCAATTGAGTTTTATAGCAGCCTTAAAAAATTATTGTTGCCTGTTCATACTAAGGTGGCTATTTTTTTCTTCTTGTTTTTAATTCTACAGACTGTTGCGTGAAAATATACTCTTGTGAGAGTACAATAACTTGGCATTGTTCTTTGTGACAATAGAAAGCCAAACAAGAACTACGTGAGACAGAAAATATAAACAAAAAATTGGATCTCAGTTTCCGTATTTGCAAATTGAAGAGCTCTGACTGATCCCAGATTCCAGATATCTCTTAGGTTCTTTTCTGTCCTGAAAAATTGTGTGTGTGTGTGTGTGTGTCTTCAGGAGTTTGGGATACAAATATTAATTGAAATCTAAGATATTCTCTGTCCTCAAAATTTTATACATTTAAATGGGAAATATTTGATAGTTGAGTTTCTTTAATCATATCAGTCCCTCAAAATAGCTGAATCATGGTGCATCCTCTGCCTCTAAATGGTTACATTCTATGCTATTAAATAAAAATGTGTCATGGGAAACAAAAATCCCATACTTTTCACCACAAGACTGACACACTAGATAGGATTGACACAGTAGATAGGGTTGACACACTAGAGCACTGATGCCTGCTTATTTTGAAACAGTCTCCAGGAAAAATTAAGAATGTTGTGAAGCATTTGCTACAGTATGTGAGCGTAACACATAAGCAACATGGCAGGCAAGAAATTTCAAAACTGCTTTGGAAATATCCATGATAGATCTGAAAGTCTATAAACTGCAGTTGAGATCACATTTGGTAATTATGATCATTGGTCAGCTGGGATTATGAGCTCTCTGGAGAGAATGAATTTCCCTCCAATTAACAGAAGAGTATATTGAATCACTGATTAGATTGTTTTAAAGGAAGAGAGAAAATGTTTCTCCCTTTTATCTAAGTAGTTATAAGAAAAAGTCTTACAGGTAAAATTATATTATGTGTTTTCTAAATTAAATAAATAAATAACCAAAAGTTCCTGACTGAAATTACCTGTAAAAATGCAGGGTCCTCCTCCAAACCAGAAAATCCAGGGATTAATTTACACAGACTTACAGCAATACTTTCTTATTTTGTGTTCTTCAACAGAGTAATAACCTCCAGTGACTCTGGCACACTGAAATTGGCTAGGATGGGATCATGAAGGAAGGGGTTGTGGGGTAGTAGTATTGGAAGGACAAGCAACTGGCTATGCTTATAGAAGAATCTCCATCTCTCTGAGCTTCATTTTCCACCCTGTACAATGCTGACAATAATATGTAAGTTTCAGAGTTGCTGTGACTCCTGAATGGATCTGTGTTTGTAGAAACTAGTACCTGCACAGAGAAAAGAGCACAGCTAATCTTGGTTCTTTCTGTCTTCCTTGGAAGGTGTTTGTTTCCTAGCTGAACAAGTTGCAGCTGAATTGTAGATAACAGCTTTTGCTTTTAATTTCAAAAATTCTGTGTGGCAAAATCTTGATAATTGTTGAATCTGGGTAACAAGTATATGGGAATTTATTGTATACTATTTTCGCTATTTTTGTGTGTTCAAAATTATTTATCAGAAAAAAAATTTAAGTGCAAATCTGAAAAAAACCCAACACTTTGCGTTATTTCTAGTCCAGAATTTCATTTTATATTGTATGTTTCATTTTACATTGTATTTTTAAATTAGTGAATATTTAAATATAAAGAAATATAAATTATGTACTATATAGGGAGTGGATGGGCAGCGACTGGTCCTGGAGAACAATCCATGGCAGTCTTCAAATTTTTGTGTGGAATTTTTCTTTATTATGAAACAATCTAAAGAAAATGTGACAGTGTTGATGTTTGTTAATTCTGTTTGTTGAGTTCATGGATTTTTTGAAGTTTTTATATTTAAAATTTTTTTACATTGATGTACAATCACTATATTGTTTCCCAAAATAATTATAATACAAATAATGCAGCTATTTTTAAAAAAGTAAAAATAGTTTCTATACCACCATCAAGACATATTCATCTTTAACATGAAGTGAAAATCATTGCATATGTCTTTCTATTTTTATACAAATAGGATATATTGGCCAGGCTTGGTGGCTCACGCCTGTAATCCCAGCACTTTGGGAGGCTGAGGCGGGTGGATCACCTGAGGTCAGGAGTTTGAGACCAGCCTGGACAACGTGGTGAAACCCTGTCTCTACTAAAAGTACAAAAATTAGCCAGGCGTGGTTGTGCGCACCTGTAGTCCCAGCTACTTGGGAGGCTGAGTCAGGAGAATCATTCGAACCTGGGAGGTGGAGGTTGCAGTGAGCCAAGATCGCACCACTGCACTCCAGCCTAGGTGACAGAGCAAGGCTCTGTCTTAAAAAAAAAAAAAAAAAAAAAGTCAATCGATTAAAAAGAAATGCTTTTATAAAAAATAGAATTGTTAAATAAGCAGGACGCTATTGGCCTGAGGCTTTCTCCCTACTTTGAGTTCCTATGTGGAAAACTAACTTTGTACATAAACAAACAAATCTAACTCGAGTATATTTTTTGTAATAGCCAGGTTTCAGCCAGTCACAGGCAGCCAGCTCATCACACCATGCCCAAATAAAGCAGATGCAGAGCTGTAACCAATCGAGTGATTTTGGTTTTTTACTTCTGTGATCAGTTTATAAAAACTGCAGCTCATGCTGCTGGATAGAGCTCTGTGAACCTCTTCTGGTTCTGAGTGCTGCCTGATTCGTGAGTTGTTTGTTGTTCAGGTAAACTGTTAAATTTATCTAAAGTTTTAACAGGATGATACTATATATGCTTTTTAAAATAAAAAAATTATGATATTTTTAACAGAAGAAACTGTAGTGAAAGTGAAGGAATTGCTGAACTTGACATCAGTATTTCTTCGTCCTGAGAGATAACAGATTCTAAACAAGTCTTCCAAACTAAGAGAAAAGATTCTGAATACATCTTGAGATCAAGATTTTTAAAGCATACATTAATTTAGACAGAGGCTCCCTATTATAAAGGATGGAGCACTGGGCACTTTTACATTACCTATAGTTTCACTTCTACTCATATCCCAATTTTTATTATTTGTTTATTATTTATTTATTGAGACAGTCTTGCTCTGTCACTCCAGGCTGGAGTGCAGTGGTGCAATCTCAGCTCACTGCAACCTCTGCCTCCTGGGTTCAAGCGATTCCTCTGCCTCAGCCTCCCGAGTAGCTGGGATTACAGGCATGCACCATGCCACCTGGCTAATTTTTGTATTTTTAGTAGAGATGGGGTTTCACCATATTGCCCAGCCTAGTCTCAAACTCCTGACCTCAGGTGATCCTCCCACCTTGTCCTCCCAAAGTGCTGGGATTACAGGCATGAGCCACTGCACCCGGCCTATTTTTTATTATATTTTTTAATTTTGGAGACAGGGTCACACTCTGTCACACAGGCTGGAGTGTAGTGGTATGATCAAGCTCACAGCAACCTCAGCCTCCCAGGCTCAAGCAGTCCTTCCACCTCAGCCTCCCATGTAGCTGGGACTACAAGCACGCACCACCCAGCTTTTTTTTTTTTTTTTTTTTTTTGGGGTAGAGTTAGGGTCTCACTATGTTACCCAGGCTGATCTCAAACTCCTAGGCTCAAGGCATCCTCCCACCTCAGCCTCCCCAAAGTGCTGGGATTACAGGCATAAGCCACTATACCCAGCCCCAATTTTAAAAATATGTTTATATTGTGAGGATCTATAACATTTGCATTGGGTTTTGTAAACTTCATTTCCGATACAATTTTTTTTTTTTTTTTTTTTTTTGAGATGGAGTCTTGCTCTGTTGCCCAGGCTAGAGTGCAGTGGTGCAATGTTGGCTCACTGCAACCTCAGCCTCCCAGGTTCAAGCAATTCTTCTGCCTCAGCCTCCTTAGTAGCTGGGATTATAGACGTGTACCACCACGCCCAGCTAATTTTTGTATTTTTAGTAGAGACAGGTTTCACCATGTTGGTTAGGCTGGTCTCCAACTCCTGACCTCGTGATCCACCCGCCTCAGCCTCCCAAAGTGCTGGGATTACAGGTGTGAGACACCATACCTGGCCATTTCAGATATAACTTACTCTCAGTTTT